CCCCAGCCTTTCCCAGCGGGGGGCTGTAGGGGAGCTCCAGGCTGTTCCAGCGCAGCCTTTCCCAGCAGGGGGTGCTGTGAGGTGGAAGCTCCAGGCTGTTCCAGCCCCAGCCTTTCCCAGCAGGGGGTGCTGTGGGGAAGCTCCAGGCTGTTTCAGCCCCAGCCTTTCCCAGCGGGGGGCTGTGGGGGAGCTCCAGGCTGTTCCAGCCCCAGCCTTTCCCAGCAGGGGGTGCTGTGAGGTGGGAGCGCCAGGCTGTTCCAGCCCCAGCCTCTCCCAGTGTGCTGGGGGGGGGAGGATGAGTACGGAGCTGTACCATCCAGCACATGTGTCCCCCCAGATCGGATGGACCTGGAGGAGCCAGAGAAGGTGGACAAGCTGCAGGAGCCCTTGCTGGAAGCTTTGAAAATCTATGCCCGCCGCCGCAGACCCAACAAGCCGTACATGTTCCCCCGCATGTTGATGAAAATCACCGACCTGCGAGGCATCAGCACCAAAGGTGCGTGCATGCTGTCAGCAGGGCACTGCTCAGGGAAGCTTGCAGCGCTGGTGCTTCAAGGCACTGCTGCTGGGATGCTCACAGCACCTGTTTCCCATCTGGTACTGACGGCACCGCTGTGAGGTAGCTCACTGCATTGGTACTCCGTACGGCAGTGCTGCAGGAAGCTCGCAGCCTCTTGCAGTGCTGGCTCACCATTCCTCTCCCCACCCCCATCGCAGGTGCGGAGCGAGCCATCACCCTGAAGATGGAGATCCCTGGCCCCATGCCCCCCCTCATCCGGGAGATGCTGGAAAACCCCGAAATGTTCGAGGATGACTCATCGCAGCCACTGCATTGGTACTCCGTACGGCAGTGCTGCAGGAAGCTCGCAGCCTCTTGCAGTGCTGGCTCACCATTCCTCTCCCCACCCCCATCGCAGGTGCGGAGCGAGCCATCACCCTGAAGATGGAGATCCCTGGCCCCATGCCCCCCCTCATCCGGGAGATGCTGGAAAACCCCGAAATGTTCGAGGATGACTCATCGCAGCCACCCCCATCTGCAGACCCCCCCAGCCCCGAGGAGAGCCCGGCCGAGC